AGAAATAAAATTGTGATTTTTTAATAAATTTGTAAAACCAATAGCCTAATGGGTCAAAATAATTTTAAATTTTTTAAGTCTCATTTAATTCGTTGATTCAAATTGTATTAATTTAAACTTTTTTTATTCAAACAGAAAAATTCAGACAATATAATTTAAAAAATAATTCAAATTAATGTTTGAATGCACAATAAAATTATTAATCCAAATGGAAAATAAAGTCCGAATTAGTGATCGGATGTATGAGAACAAGTCATTTGAGAAAGTGAGAAAGTGCACGTGTATTTGTTTTGCTTGGAGAGAAAGTGGGGCCCACGCCAATTAAGGTGAGAAGTGAGAACAGCCTTTGCAGCCAAGTGGGTCCCACGCAGAGTAAAGTCAGAATGGTGGGAAAATGGAACACTGTAGAAAAATGGTCTGAAAAGCGGAATTGAGGGGGGGAGTTGAATCCGGAGTTAAAGCATTTTAACTCAAATTAAAATGGCTCATTCAGTTCTAATTAACACCTTTACCAAACTTGCATCCGAATTGTGGTTTGAGCTGAATTGGGTTGAATTGAGTTGAGTTACCCAACTAAACGGGAGCCAAATAAATAATGGTGTTCAAATGAAATTTATAATGCCTTAATATAACTTTGGTATGAATTTAAAAGTCTATTTAGAAGTATTTTTTTTAGAAGTTATATTTTATGACTTTATCTGAAAGTTCTTCTAAAAAGTTGAAGCGCATTTAACAAATTATCTAAACACTTTTAAAAACAATTTTTAGACATAAAAAGTTAAAAAGCAACTTTCAAAAAATTATCCCAAATAGGCCCATACCGATTTGTTAGAAGCGCATCGGTATTTTAAAAGAACTTTTCGTCAAAATCACAAAATGTAACTTCTAAAAAAAACACATTAAATATACTTTAAAATTTGTACAAAAGTTCCATCGAGACACTAAAAACCTCATTCCAATGCTTTTATTGCACTATAGAGAATTTCAAAATTATTTTATCATTAAACTCTTTTATTCCAAACACGTTGCTCCGTTCATTTCACTGATTCGAGTTTAAAATTTGGGTTTTTCTACAGTAAAAAGCTCTCATAAACAATCATATTTAACTTTTTTGTTACAGTAAAAAGTTCTCACATAAAGTCACATCTCAACTCGAATTCTAAACTCGAATCAGCGAAGTGAACGGGAAAGTTACAACTTTTACTTCTATTCTTTTACTTACTAAAAGCAAAAGCAAAACTCTTCCAAACGGTCCTTTAATTACTTTCGTCGAATGAACATCATGTTGTTTCGATAAAACTACGTGTCGTTTATGCTGCTTTCCTCTCCGTCGTTTGATCATAAGAAACGTGTTGTCCATTTACAAAACTTCATGTGTTTTTCTATCAAATTTTGCCGTCGTTTGTTTTCGTAAACGTCTTGCTCTTTGTCATCCTACGTTTGCAGGAAATGGTACTAGAAATAACGGGAGTGGCTTTATTTGCTATACCTTCGTTGGCCGCTGTAGCCCGCCTTTTTACTTGTCACGCGTTAGCTTTTTCTATTCAGTTATATACTTCTATTACGCTTTTTGATGGTTCCATTGTGAGAGTTGATTTCTTTTTATTAACATAGAGGCTTTTTTTGAATCTCTTACCTTAGAGGCTTTTTTTTTTTTTTTTAAAACAAGAGAGTAAGAGAGAAATGTAGGCTGCTACCCCTTTTAAAGTTTTAAACTTTAAATTTTTTTGCGTTTAAAATTCATTTTAAAATAATTTTATTTTTTGTATGAAAATAGAAATGAAAATATTTTCAATCTCAGACAGAAATCATTTTTAAAAATGAGTTTGATAGTTTTATCAAGAGATTGTTTTCAGTATAAAAAAATCTTTTAATGTCTCTCTCTCTACTCAAGAGAAGAGAAAACGGAAACAAAAAATGAAAAACGATTAAAAGTCGTTTTTCATTTCTCTCACATTTTACACTAAACTAAAAAATCATTTACATTTTCATTTTTTATCTTTAATTGTGTCAAACGCCGTTGTTTGCAATCAAAAAAATGAATCACAAATGGGCCTTCAAAAAATTAAAAGAGAAAATAAAATTTTGTATTAGCCCAACTTTAGGCTGGCCCAAAAAAAAATAATAATGAAAAATAAAAAAGAGAAAAAAAGGAGGATTAAAAAAATACACTTTAAAAATGTGAAGAGAGGGTGCAGAACGTGGTGTGTGCAAAATGTGGAGTAGTGATTAAAAAAAAAGAGATGGTGCAGAACGTGATGTGTGTAAAACGTGGGGTGGCGATAAAAAACTATTATGGAATTCTTTTATATAAAGGAGGAAAACTGTCCAGAGGAGATGAGAAGACTGTGCGTGTGTGCGGAACGGAAGGCATTAGTGTGTGCAGCAAGAGAAAAGAGTGTGCAACAAAATTTTTGCGCAGTGACAATCCGCAGGAGTGCGCAGGTGATTGTAGGAAAAGTAAGAAAAAAAATAAAACAAAAAAAAAAGGAGAAAGGTTGCAGGCAAACGTGAGAAGAAAGGAAAAAAAAAAATCAAAAAAGTGTGTGCGCGCAGGTGAGAGAACGTGAGAAGTGAAAGAAAAAAAGTGTAGGTACGTGTGTGGGAAAACGTGAGAGGAAAGGGAGAAAAAAGGGTGCGCAGGTGTGTGTGCAGAGAAGTGAGAAAAAAAAAAATATACGTCTTTAAAAGTAATATTTTAAAACAATAAGATAATTATATATTTTGATAGATTGATTTTTTTTTACACTAGTAATTTTAGTTTTTTATGTTATTAAATAAATACAGTATATTTAAATTAAGTCTTATATACATTTTAAAGTGTAGAATTATAATTTATTTCTTAACACTCTTTACGAAGATAAATCTCATATACGCCTTACGGTGTGAGATTTCTTATTTACAACTCTTAATAAATTTTTAATGTAAAATTTTTTAAATTATTTGTTACGATTGTTTTGAGTATAATTCGAGTGAAAAATTCATACGAATTACACTTTAAAAATTGATATATAAAAAATTATGTGCATATTTATATACACACACACACACCAAAAGTTCACGTGCTGTGATGCTTGTAAGACTCTGGCGCTTGCTGTACTTGTTGTGGAGAAGCAATAAGGGTTCATATATATATTTATATATATACGTTAATCACGGGAAGCAGAAGAAGGATTTCAATTCCTCTTTGAGATTAGAAGATCAAAACAAATCAAATCATAACAAATTATATTTAAACGGTGAATTTAATTTTGAATTTTAAAATTCAAAAAAAAAGAGAAAAGACAATAATCTCAAAATAAATTCAGAATATTAAATAAAAAAAAAGAAAAGACAATAATCTCAAAATAAAGTCAGAATATTAAATACCTTAAAATTTAAAGTACACAAATTAAGTCTTTTTATGGTCTTTTAGTTCAAAAGATGAGCCCATTGTCTTATAAAACCATATGGTAATTAAATACAACTTTTAAATCCCAAATTCAAATAAAAAAAATTCTCAACACTAAATTCAAAAAGGATCATTTTAATTCTTCATAAAGTCATGTACCGGGAAATTATCCAAATACAACTTTTAAATCCAAATTCTAAAGTAAAATTTCAAATCGAATTTTAAAATATATTTGAATTCCTCCTATGGTCATATATCGGTGAATTCTCTAAAATCCAAATTCAAACTTAAGAACTACGATTGACTTGATTTCCTATCGGATACGTAGGCAACCTAAAATTTAGGTGCAATTTCAATACCAAATTCAATTCTAAAATTCTCATAAAAGAGAAAATCAATACAAAACCAAATCAAATTTCAAAGTGCGTCAATTCCTCATAAGGTCATACACCGAGGAATTATCTAAAATTTTCAAACTCAAAATTCGAACTATAAGTGGCTTGATCCCCTAACGGGGGATGTAGGCAACTCGACAAAATTCACTGAGTTCAGCCGCAATTTTAAATCAACCCAAATTTCTCAAATTCACAAGAAAATAGAATTTATTGTTTTAATTGGAATCAAAATGTTTTCCCTTGTACCAAGGGATTGTAATTAAGAGGTTATTCTTATAATCTTGAATGGGTCGAACTAAAAATAATAAACTCCTATGCTAATTAAAGCCTAGATAGGTGAAATTATGTTGTGTGTGAAATATTATTTCAACATTAATAAATATTTTTACTCAACAATCGTTTCTCTTCCGTTTTCATTTTTTTTTCTTAAAAAACATGAAAAATAAAAATAAAAATAACTCCAAACACAACCTATAATTTGAATATATCTTCTAAATGGGTCCTTAAAAAAATCATTAGCTATATGGACCATTTTACAAGTTTTAAGTCTTCTCATCTAAACTCACCTATTGGTGGCTAGATTAAACTTTTGAATAAGGATTTTTTTGTAGGGAGGAAAATTTCTTCATTATATTTTTTTAATCTTTTAACGTTTTAATTATAGTCCATTTTGTTTAAATTTTTAATCATTTCATATTTAGGATAATATTTAATATTGATATTAAAGTTAAAGATTGTAGTAAAAAAGAAGTTGAATTTAAATTTTTGTAAACAAATATTATAGTAAAAAGTTGATACTAGTATTTTTAAAACCTTTCTGAGTTTGTTCAGAAAAAGAAAAACCTTTTCAGTTGTCTAATTTTAAAACCTTACATGGGGTTTTATTCTATTAATAAAATCTGCTAAAGAGGCTTTTTAAAATTTTTAAAATATAATATAAGATGAGAAAAGAAAAGGCTGTGTTTCAATGAAATACAAGAATTAGTACTATATTTTCCTTATAAAAATAGCATATTTAAGTTGATTTATTGAGAAATTATCAATCTTAATACTCTGGATGTCTGTCTCTGACAAACCAATATCTAAACAGGCAAATAGGTAATAGCAGAAGAAACAAAGGGGTAAATTCGGAAATTTAAGATTTGTATTGGAGCCAAAAGGCTCGTTCGTAAACCTAATACAACAAAGGGCCTTCAAATGGGAGTGTGAGTGTCTGCCCAACTATATATATATATACTCTGCTTCTTTCAACATCCGCCTCCCTTCAACTCCACGGCGCAGATCCGAGGAGTTCGGGAAACCCTAGCTCCGCCGTCTTCAGTCCTCTCTTTCTCACTCTCTCTTTCTCTTTCTACGAAAATCACTGCTTGCAGGTATATATACATCTCTCTCTCTCTCTCTCTCTCTCTATATATATATATATATATGTATGTATTTGTTCTGTGTCTATATACCTTTACGATATGTCTTGGTGATTTTTTTTTTGGTATTGTATGGAGTTGATTGGCTGCTTTTGCCGTTAGGTTTGTCTTCCGTCGTTGCTTTGGTTCGTGATGAGTTTCGATTTCGTTTGCGATCTGCTTTTGATATGTTTCCTTTTTTCTGTAAAAGTTTCGTTCTTTTAGCGGACGGATTTGTTCGGTTCGCGAGAGAAGTGACGAACAAGTAGTGAATTTCTGTTTTTTGAACAGCGGCAGATTTATTCCCTTTTTTCACGAGAAAATAAATTTAGCGACATTTAAAAACGCAAGCTTTTGGTTTTTGCCTGCTCTTGAAATAAGGATTAACTTTTGTTTTTTTGCCATTATCAATCGTGAAAAGAACTGCTAATGTCACCGAGTTTCTCTTCATCAATGGTGTTTTTTGCGAAAATGAGTTTCACTATGATTTATTGAAATATCATTTCGTATGATTCATATTTTTTTGGTACTAAGAACTCTCTTATTTCTGGGAATGGATTGCTTTACATTGTATGGGGGAGTGGGCAGTGCTGTGTTTGTTTGCTTTGGGATTTATACCTAATGTAGCAGATTGATACATGCCCTATATGATAACTTCTCCTGAAAGTAAAACAGGAGTTTAATACTTGTATTCCTACTTCTGTGGTTTGCAAGTTTGGCTCTTCTGTCACATTTTCTTTGATAAAAAGTAGCTACTATCTTTGGTGACAATTCTGTATCTGCATTTTGAGAGTCTGAGAGTGTAAAAAAGGTGGCAAATGATTTTCCTGGCGGTTTTTACTCTTCCTGAAACTTTACTAATGGAATTTTGTTTTTGCAGATATGGCTGGTCTGGCTTCAGAAGGAACGCAGTTTGATGCTCGCAAATATGATGCTAAAATGAATGAATTGTAGGTTTCTTTTGCGCAAACGTTCTTGTTTTTTGTCCAGAATAGGTTCCACTTTCTGTCACATCATATATTTGTCATTTGATGTCATTATTGATGGTTCTTATTAAAATAACTGTGCTAGGCTGTCAAATGATGGACAAGATTTCTTCACGTCATATGATGAGGTTCATGAAAGTTTTGATTCCATGGGATTGCTCGAAAAGCTACTGAGGGGCATCTATGCATACGGTAAGTTAAATTTGGAATTTGGGCATCGATTTTCTATCCAAACATCCTCACAGTCTTGTGCTTGGTAGTTTTAAAAATTGTTTGTATTTTATGAGTTCTACGTTGCATATATAAATGGAGCATGTTTCTATGGGCTAGCAAAATTATTTATTTTGGATTTCACTTTCAAGGTTTTGAGAAGCCATCTGCAATCCAGCAAAGGGGAATTGTTCCTTTCTGCAAGGGTCTTGATGTCATTCAGCAGGCTCAATCTGGAACTGGGAAAACTGCTACTTTCTGTTCTGGTATTTTGCAGCTACTTGATTATGATTTGGTTCAGTGCCAGGCCTTGGTTTTGGCACCCACTAGGGAACTGGCACAACAGATAGAGAAAGTTATGCGAGCACTTGGTGACTACCTTGGTGTAAAGGTTCACGCTTGTGTGGGTGGAACTAGTGTGCGCGAGGATCAACGCATTCTTCAAGCTGGTGTTCATGTTGTTGTTGGAACTCCGGGTCGTGTGTTTGACATGTTGCGAAGGCAGTCACTTTGCTCGGATTACATTAAGATGTTTGTGCTGGATGAGGCTGATGAAATGCTTTCTCGTGGTTTCAAGGATCAGGTTTGTCTTGCCCTTTTAAACTGCTTGTATTCATTTTAGTTGTCGTGGATAACTTTCTCAGATAATGTCTTTAATAACAAGTTTACATAGAGATTTTTTGATATACTAAAAGTAGGAAACCTTAAAATATACAGGGACATGTTCATTTTTTTAAGGCGCCGATTTAAGTTCTTCCCATTTTGCTCTGCTGTTGATTCTTTCTGTGAAAGTCCTTTAAGCATTTGATCGACGCTAACATAGACCTGTAGTTCTTTTAATAATTATTACGAATCATTGAAGCCCTTTAGGCTACGGAGGATTTGGTGAATGGATTGACTTCTAAACATGCTCGCAGTTTTTTATCTCATTACTAGAGTTAAAATGGCTTTTCAATTTTTTGGATGCTAACGATGACTATTTGCATGTCAGATATATGACATTTTCCAGCTCCTGCCATCAAAGGTCCAGGTTGGTGTTTTTTCTGCTACAATGCCCCCTGAAGCCCTTGAGATCACTAGAAAGTTTATGAATAAGCCCGTGAGGATCTTGGTGAAACGCGATGAGCTCACCCTTGAAGGTATCAAGCAATTTCATGTCAATGTTGAAAAGGAAGAATGGAAGCTTGAAACGCTTTGTGATCTGTACGAGACCCTGGCCATCACCCAGAGTGTCATTTTTGTCAACACAAGGCGCAAAGTGGACTGGCTTACTGACAAGATGCGAAGCCGTGACCACACCGTCTCTGCCACCCATGGTGACATGGACCAGAACACTCGTGACATAATTATGCGCGAGTTCCGCTCTGGCTCCTCTCGTGTTCTAATTACTACCGATCTCTTGGCTCGTGGTATTGATGTGCAACAAGTTTCACTTGTCATTAATTATGACTTGCCTACTCAACCAGAAAACTACCTTCATCGTATAGGACGAAGTGGTCGGTTCGGAAGGAAAGGTGTTGCCATTAACTTTGTGACTAGGGAGGATGAGAGAATGCTGTTTGACATTCAGAAGTTTTACAATGTTGTCGTTGAGGAGCTGCCATCTAACGTTGCTGATCTCCTCTGAAGAGCTCTTTTTGTTTCGTCTGAGGCAATTGGTTTTTTTTTTTTTTTTTTTTTTTTTTTCCCTTCGCTTAGTTGCAAGTACTATTTAATCCCCCCTTTTTTGCTCTTCCTTTTTCCCCTCCCAATTTAGTGTCTTAAGTTAATGTTTTTTGAACATATTTATCTGACCATCAAGGCCAACATAATGATATCCGTCCCGCTTCACTGCGATATAGGTGTAGACAGATTCTCATTTTGCACAGCGGTGAGGTGGGGCTTTTATTATTTCAAATTTTGTTTTCATTTAGGCTTTGTATTGTACGGTCCTTTTAATTTTTTTCCCTTGGAATTTATTATAAGAAAGATGGTAGTCAAGGATTGGTTTATCTTCTATTTATTTTATCAATTCGAATTTAGAATTTAAGTTTTGTTACAGTAATTTTTTTTTAAAAAGTCACATTTAATTTATATTTTATTTAATTTATATTTTATGAGTTGTTTGGTTAGTGAATTTGTATTTTAATTTGAATCGTAGTTCGTTATAGTATTTTTTTTTTTATAAAAAACACGTAAATTGAGAATAATTTTGAATTATGATTTTGAATTTATGAATTAAACGTTCACTTAATTTTTTTGATACAGTAAAAAGTTTTAACATAAAATTACATTTCAATTTAAATTAAAAATTTAAATTAGTGAACTAAATGGGTTCTTAATATGTTCTGTGGCCGTGTTCCAGTGCGTTTGCTTATCTTGATGAGTTAGTGCGTTTGCTTATCTTGATGAGTTAGTGCGTTTGCTTATCTTGATGAGTTGGTGCGTTTGCTTATGTTGTTCTTTTTGCATATATTTCCTGATAGGATCTTTTTTTTTTTTGGATGATTAGATTTATGGAAGATTTGCCGGATGCTTTGTAATTTAATATTCTAGATGAGACAGTGAGAGTTGTGTAGGTCCACATGCCTTTTTCTCCATAGCATATCTCTCCTCTGGCGTTGCAATCTTTCTTGGATCTATGATTTAGCTAGTATTTTTTAATTTTGTTTGTTCTTTTTATTTATTAGAGTTAAGAATTTAAGTTAAAAAATGAATTTATATGAGAAAAAAATACTATAATAGAAAAAATTAAATTTAAATTTTTATGAGAGAAATTATTAATAAAAATTTGAGTTGTGATTTTAATTAACAAAATGAACAGGTTAATATGTATAAATCATTTTTTATTTTACTCTTTGCAGAGATTAACTTTGCATAAATACAAATTCTCAAGGGTAAACGGTCTATTGTGCCCTATTTATTTAGGGAATCAATTAGTTGTTCGATCTCAATTTGAGAACTCGAGAGCCCGACAGAAAACTACTTTTGTTCAAGAGTGCCGCCATGGACAAAGATGTTCCTATGCAAATGCAGTAGCAAAGTTAGACGAGTAGCCGATCCTTTACACGAGTTGTTTGATCCTTTTGTTAGAATTTATAGTGTGAGAGGACCATTGTACACAAGTTCTAAAATCAAGTGGCATAAACTTATTAAACACTACTGTATTGATCATAGTTCGGCCGAATTACTTTTGTTGCCGGTTCAGCTTTGCAGTGTTCCAGCTAGTCTGAAAAATTAAACGATAAAAAATAAAAGAGTAGAAAATGGAGAATATTTTGATAAGATACGAAAGTACAACTTATTATTAAGAAGAGAAATGCTAACATCATTATGCATTTACTGACACATGAACTTTATTATTTTATTTTCTATTTAAATAATAATATTATGTTAACGGAGTTTACGTGTTAAACAGTGAACGCAGAGAGAGTGATAAATAGAATGACAATAAGAATAATGTTAATATTTCTATGCTAAAATATAATTATGACTTTTAAATTGTTAGATCCTCATTTAAGTCATGTATTTAATCTTATGTAATGTGACATGATAGTCTAGAGAATTTGTAGAGTACGTCTTCATATACCTCGTCACGAAATTCTACAAAGAAAATTACCCTTATCAACGCTCCCATCAGTTTTATATTTCACCTATTAATGATGAGCTTTGGCGAAAACCTGAACAATCGGTTTGCAGTTACACCGGCCTCAAAATTGTACTAAAACTATTCAAGGCCTCGTTCGTTTCACTGATTCGAGTTTAGAATTCGAGTTTTGCTACAGTAAAAAGCGCTCACAAACAGTCACATCTAACTTTTTTGCTACAGTAAAAAGCTCTCACATAAAATCACATCTCAACTCAAATTCTAAATTCGAATCAGCGAAACGAACAAGGCATAAGTGTGGCAATGGCAAAGTGGTCCCTTTTCACCTACTTGTTCTGCCCAAGTGCGTCTACATACTCGCAAAATCTTGACTGTAAACTATTAACAATTTTGTCAAATTACGGAAATGCATACTAGATTCAAGAGAATTTCTGAATTCTTCTAAAAGCTCTTAATTTTAAACAATTTAATAGTCTCCAATGATGTAACACTAGAAAAGATCAAGGTATTGTGCTCTGTAAAACCAAAAGTCGAGGGGATCGAATTGAAATATGGTTGACAATTCAACCCGCAAACTCTATAGCCATGCGTAATCACAAGTTTTGAAATTTGAATCCTTCACCAGCCCTTTTTAACTATTTTTTGCGTGTGTGGAAACTTACATTGGTTTTCCCGAGATTTGATTTTCCTATGTTATCTGCAGTAATATTTCAGTTTGACTTGTAAGCAAAGCATTCAAAATTCTTATAGAGTTTGTCTGACAGGATTGAAAAAAAAAATTTATCGGTAATTTTTTATTTTTTAAGGGTCAAATTTATATGAAAAATTATATATTTTATGTATTTTTTTAATTTATTATAATTTTAATCATATTTAACAGTTAAAAACTGATTTATTAATAAATTGGTCTACGAAAGAAGGTCTCATATTCTTATTACCCACCAAAAAGGAATAGAACAAAATAGATTGAAATGAATGACCTCATTATAAAACTCATATAAATCTCTCTTCCAAGTTGTTAACAGTCGGCGTTAACGATTCCACGTGTATAAAAGGCCAGTCAAACTTAGCAGCCCTTGCCTCATGCAAGCAAGATGCAACCAGTAGTCCCACAATCCTTAGTTGTGAACCAAACGCTTTTAATAAGTGCCACAACCACACTATTATATTCAACAAAAGAAAACAAACCCCATAACACGAAAAGACCAAAAACCCCATCTCGATCTTTTCCAATACACACAAAAAAACAAAGAAAGCCAACAAAACTCATTTCCCAAAGATAGTCCAAACTAGTAAATACACATACAACGTTAAAAAAAGCCGCTCCCAACAAAAACCCCTCTTTTTTCCTTCTTTTGTATTTGTCCCACATCTCTCATCAAGCTCTGATAATCATCTCCAATGGAGAATTACAGATCCAAGTCATACAGAGACGGTGGGATGCAAATGGATGTCTGCTATGGAAACAGAGGAGCCCCAACAAACATGCAAGATCTGAGGTGTTACAGCGCCAACTATGCAGGCTCTTGTGCGCCGCCAAACCAGATTGTTAAGGAGGTGAAGATCAAGAAAGGGAAGAGCAATATTGGGTCAACTTCCAAATCTTGGAGCTTCAACGATCCAGAGCTGCAGAGGAAGAAAAGGGTCGCTGGTTACAAGGCTTATGCTGTTGAAGGCAAGATGAAAGGCTCTCTAAGGAAAAGCTTCAGGTGGATCAATAACACTTACACCCAAGTCGTCTATGGCTGGTGGTGAAGTAATTGATTAATGGGCATTTTTATTTTTATTTTTTTTCCTTCTATTTGACTAAGTCCCTTTCTGGGTTTGTTCTGTTATGAACTGAGAAGCTCTAAAAATATGTTTTTTTTTTTTTTTTCCTTCTATTTGACTAAGTCCCTTTCTGGGTTTGTTCTGTTAAGAACTGAGAAGCTCTAAAAATATGTTTTTTTTTTTTTTTTGAGTTTTTTTTTAATGTTGTTATGTCATAGAATTGAAAATTCTTATACTTGTTGCTTCTTCTCATAATTGAATGTATTTATGTACCCTTTCTTATCCTTTCAGTTCCATAGACTGAACTGATCAAGATCTGAAATTGTAATGATATAATGATGAAAACTATGTGTATATTGATGATGGATGTTGTATGCTTTTTAACTTTTTCTGCTTTTGATTGTTGACCATCAAATTTTAACATATTTTCGCCTTTTCTTTTTCTTTCTTGGGTGGAAATCTTTCATTTTGCTACTTTCCTTAATGCACGAATTATTATGAGGTTCCTTGATTTCTTGAAATCCAAGAATTCCTCAACAGGTTTTGGTTTTGGCAGATGTGAAAGTAATCACAGAATTATTAGTTGTACTTCTTAACTTGCACCAATGGGAAAAGTTTGTTTTGTTTTTGTTTTTGTTTTTTTTTAAAGTAAGATTATGCTTTCTTTATTTAAGGGATGTTTGTTTTCAATGTTCGTATTTTGAATCATAATTTATAATTTTTTACAGTATTTTTCTCTCATAAAAATACACGTAAAATAAAAATAATTTTAAATCATAATTCTGAATTCATAAACAAATGTCCACTTAATGATCTTATGTAGTACAGTCACCAAAATCAGTTTCCTGATTTTTCTTGTTTCTCCAACTACCAGTTCAGAGATTTAGAACTAACTTTTGCTCATCGAGATCTCTCCCATGAGGTAGGTGGAACCGATTTCCCTAACTCATGAGGGTCAGACTAAGAAAAGAAAATGGAACAAGAAAACGGCGAAACAAACAAAGAAAATTTCCCAGACACAAAAAATTCCATTGGCGTTCCCAACAAAGAAAGTTCTTATTCAAAAGTAGGAGAATTCCACTTGGAGTGGTTACTGTTTTAAATAATCAGATCAATATTAGTTTTTATTAAATAATTAGATTAATATCAGTTTTTTGTATACAGTAAATGTTCCTCCCTACAAACATGAAATTCATAGTTTAAAACGTTCAATTTTCTTGCTGATTGTTACAACTTTCATGTCCATCACTTGCCATGATGCTCTATTTCATTTTATTGTCTATTCACCTTTTAATTTAAGAAGATTTGACAATTGAGAGCTATAAAATAATATATATTTTTTATGCTATTATGCTAAAGAATTCTCGTTGATATTGTAGTTAGTGCATTTGTTTTTAGTATCCTTCAATCTCTGTCGTCAATGGAGTTCTTTTCCGGGTCTCCATATAAATTTGTCAATCACAAAGTCGTCTAATACATAAATATTCTAATTAATTACGTGAAATACGTATAACTACAAACGATACGGTTAACGTCACGTCACTTCACATTGATAGTTGAAAATGCATTCAGCCACAGTCAGTGACTAACAGTTGCTTGCTCATCAAACACAACAGGTCAAGAAATCTACCCCTTTAAGGTTTAGTCGGCGCCTCAAAAACTTTTAAGACATAAATAAGGAGAATTCTATAAATAAATAACTAAAGTATTGTTTTCCAAAATTTAAACCTTTAAAAAAATAAGCAATGATGAATAAGGGAATTTACTCGAATAAACAACCATAATATGTCCCAACCATTGAATGTTTTCAGCTATCCAGATGAATCAAATTTCTTTATTATATTTTCTGTTTTGCCACAATTTAATTATATTTTTATCCAACGTCATTCACACACTTAAGTCTCGTTTATTTCACCGATTCGAGTTTTTAATTTTAGGTTTTTACAGTAAAAAATTCTCAGAAAATATCACGTCTCAACTCGAATTGAAAGATCGAATCCGCGAAGTGAACGATGCCTTAGATAGTTCCTTGTCATTCAATATTTCCCTAAAAACAAACCTGAAGCCTGATGAGAAAATTTAGTTTTGCCTAAAAACACCACAATTGGACATCCCGGAAAGCAAGAGACATGGGAAAAGAGGAAATTCTATTTGAGAAAATTATAAAAATTGAACCTTAAACACATATTTTTAGAGTTCTACCTTTTTGTTGTGATAGGCTATCAATTTGATAATAATCTGTCAAATTATGGATAATAATCTGTCTAATTTTAGACAATAATCTATTAAATTACGCCTGCCACGACGACTTAAGACCCGCTGCCGACGACATCTGTCAAATTATCGATAATAATCTGTCAACTTAAACACCACAATTGGACATCCCGGAAAGCAAGAAGAGACATGGGAAAAGAGGAAATTATGTTTGAGAAAATTGCAAAAACTGAACCTTAAACACATCTTTTTGGAGTTTTACCTTTTTGTTGTGATAGACTATCAATTTAATAATAATCTGTCAAATTATGAATAATAATCTGTCTAATTTTAGACAATAATCTGTTAAATTACGCCCGCCACCGACGACTGAAGACCCGCTGCCGGCGATATCTGTCAAATTATCAATAATAATCTGTCAACTTACTTACTCCAAAAGGGTAAAATTCAATTAGTTAATGCTGAGACCTAAAAATCCTTAATGATACCATTTTAAAAGGTATTTGTTAAAATTACTCATTCTATTTAGAGTGCATAGTTTGAATTTTTTTCTTACCTCCTTTTAACTAGTAACCCATACATTTTAAAAGTAAGTTCAACAATTTTCTCCAAAAACATCAACACGTCAAAATTAAAGCTCCGTGTGAATATGAGCTACGACACTTATAAGTCCCAAACAATAATACAACGATGTTACAAAACATTGGTGATCACCTTTCACACACACAAAAACATTGGTGATCACCACAACCTTATAACAAATCACTGATCCACATACAGAGTCTAAGACCCACTGACTATGTCCACCTTCTAACATGTAAATTTCTATCCTGGTAAAAACCATATCCAACACTGCTAATAACATTTTTCCAACTATAATTCCCCCAAACAGAGCCTTACGACAGAAAAGAAATCTTGTGTTTATCAGAATCCACCAATTCTTGACTAATGTTTGAATTTGGCACTCGGTTCTCCCTGCATGGTTGGTGTGTGTATTCGCTTGTAAATTACTAAATTGTAACCCACAATGGGTTAGATGGCCAAAATGCAAATATAAACGGAAATAGGAATATTATATAACTGATAACTCCAATGTGTTTCATGCGGCTCTATGTGCAGATGGTGCCCGAAAGCATGGCTAAATGAGCACCAAAAACCAACTTGTAAGCTTCACAACTCAAGTTCTAAAACAGTCAACTAAAGCTTATTACAGAATCTCAGTATGCGTCGGGAATCGAAACATTGATTTACTTACAGTTTACATTGTCTATTTGTGTTTCACCCACAAACGTAGTTTATGATGTTCGATGAAGGCGTGGACATATATTATAAAATGAACTTAACTAGTACAACGGTAATAAGAAAGTGAAAATAGGTTGAATATAACTCAAATTGTATTGACAAAAGCCTTTTTACCTGGGACACTTCCACTTCTGGATCTCTTTTTTTATTTCCTTCTTACAGTGATAAACCCAGGCATTGAAGCTCTCCACACACATAATACGCGGAAAACAAATTCAACACCAAGTACGTGATGGATGTATACCATTTTTTAAAATTTACAGGTGGTGAGTTTGGAGAGCGACTGCTGCTAATACTGCACTCTCTCATCATTGTTGAAATGCAGGCTCTCGATACCCCGAAGAGTGGACTCTAGGTTTTTTATGTTTGAAATGTTTCTAGAGGAAGATGTGCGATTGTGTTCTGAAGAAACTATGGGTGAGCTTCTCTGGCCACTAGAAATTTTACGTAGTGTTCCTGGGCTGGCGTCTGTGTTTTGAGGGCGAGATAAATCAGATTCACTGCTAACCATCAGTGGATCACGACTGCTAGATACGGCAGGCCGCCTAGATGACCCAGTTGAACGCACGAAATTTGAGCTCGTTAACTGCATAAATCCAAGCACAACGAATTAGCTGAATAAAGTTCCATATCTGATATCTTACACAACTCAACTACTAACTTGGACCTTCAAGTTCAATAAATGTTTTTCCATTTTATTGTCTTCTTGCATAATGTTTGCTACCAGTATACAAGATCACAAGTTTTCTGTTTCTTAATTGTAATTTTCTAAAAAGGGCAATTTAAAACCAACACAACTCCGTTTTCTTCTTCTTCCTCGTCCTTCTAATTTGCTACAACAATAACCCAAGTTAAATGCTATAAAATGGACAGAAAAAATTCATCAAAATTGAGCACCAATAATAAATCCAGGACAACTATATCTATGTATAGTTTAATTGTACTTGGCATAGTGATCAATAAAAGCATGAGAGAAAACTCCCAAGATTCGCTACAATAAAAAACACTTACCATAGTATCTTTTGAAACAACTGGATCATTTGCAACTGGACTTTTTTGTTTAGACAAGCTTCCAGAATTTATAAGAGGCCCCGAATTTCTCCTACGAGAGGGGTCTGCAGGTGACCAACCTGTGGGCCTACCATCTTCACCTATAGAAATCAGCACATGTAAAAGTAATTAAAAAAAAAAAAAGGACTTTCACCAATGCAATTAAGTGCTATATTAAAAATAGGAAAGTAGACAGAATTAAAGCACTACCAGCATGTCTATCAGCGTTTGCAACAACTGGAGGTATGCCAGAACTCGGTCCAGCACCAGGACCCTAACAGATAATAATAAAAATACCCTAAGATTTCGGCCAAAAAAAAACCCTCCCCCCTCCCCTCACCCAAAAAAAAAAGAGAGAGAGAAAGAAAGAAAGAAAGAAAGAACGGGAGAGAGACTAGTCACTTACAAGAGCACGAGTAGGTGGAGTAGCAATTTGGGATTGCTGGTATTTCAAGATAGTCCAATCAAACACATAATCAAACTGAAAACCTGAAGCAATACGATAAATATAAGGACAGATTGCATGAAAGATTAGTAGAAACTGCTTCAAAATGGAACCCAATACTGTTAACACAGCAGGTATCGACTTTTTTAGCATATATTGTATGCCCTTTTGAAAAAAAAAAAAACAAAAATTAATTTTATGGTGAAAATTGAAAGATATGAAGGATCTCCCTCTCAGCCATACCTCAAAGGACAATGTAAAAACTAAAAAGAATTTTTTTTAAAAAAAAGAAAAAAAAGCACCAAACCTTCACGAATGAAAAGGTCACGTAAGAGCCTCTTCAGATAAGCATAGTCTGGTTTATCATCAAACCGTAGAGACCTACAGTAATGGAAGTACGATGCAAATTCTGTAGGATAACCACGGCACAGGGCCTAAGGAAGAAATAGGGCAGAAACAGTTAGAACTACAATAAGATCCATTGCTATCATGCATTGCAACTATTCTATAACATAATTTTACCTCAATGGAAGTTGATACTTTCTTTTCACTGATCTTCTCATACTTCTGTTTCTTGGTTCCTGCTTTCAGTCCCTGCCAAGGAAGACTATAAAAATACAAGGTCATACCAGTAGAAAACATTTCCAATAACAGTGAAAAACATACAACAGAGAAGAATGTATAACAATAATGGGATAGGAGAATATTTACCTTCCTCTTAAAAAATACATAAGGACATAGCCAAGTGATTCTAAGTCATCCCTGCGGCTTTGCTCTGTGCAGAACAAAATAATAATAATAATAATAATCAGGGTTAAAAAGGCTGAAAAACATTAGTAATTAAAAAATCACAAGATAAGACATTGACAGAAAAATTATGTGCACGTGCATGTGAGTGAGAAAAATAACAATAGGCTTACCAATGCCGAGGTGAGTATTCATACTAGCATATCTGGCAGTTCCTGTCAAGTTCTTATTCTCCCTGCGATTATATGAGCATGTAAAAATAAGGTGTAAAGGGGGGAAAAAAGCATGCCAAAATAATGAATGCTGACAGTATCACACGTGATACATGTTCTAAGACATATTTTATTTTCCCAGCAATAAAAAAGATCACCACCACTACAATTTGCATCAGCCATCACACAGCAGTGGATCATAACACATCCAGCATAAAATTACAAATATCAACCATCAATACTGAAAAAGTTAAACCTGTAAGGAATATGTTGATGAGTTGAAGCATCTCTATACTTCTTAGCGAGACCAAAGTCAATGATGTAAACCTGCACAAAAAAAGGTTTACAGTAGCACATTATCGCATTATATATAACGTACAAGAAGGTTAAACTGATAAAGACTTCCAAATACCTGATTTGCCCGCCTTCCTAAACCCATGAGGAAATTGTCCGGCTTGATATCTCGATGTAGGAATGATTTTGAATGAACAAACTCCACTCGGTTGATCTGACAAGAATATCAAGATTACTAAAAGCAACTGAAGTGTATAAATAAAATGCTAAGATGAATTGAATTTAACACCACCATCTGATCTGCAAGCATGAGAACAGTCTTCAGGGACAATTTCCTACTGCAGAAGTTGAATAAATCCTCGAGACTAGGTCCCAGTAAATCCATAACAAGAACATTATAATCTCCTTCAGTGCCAAACCATCTCACATTTGGAATTCCAGCTGCCGACGTTGTAAAACGAGGCCAAACAACAAACATACCAACTGGATGAGTACAGCATACATGAATATCGAAAAGCAACAAGATAATGGTAAGGGCCATTACTTCCTCCCTGCAATATTTTGTACAACTTTGATTCATAGAGCAATTGGGGATGTTTTGTCTTGACGTTTTCCTGCGTAAAAGATTCAAAGTTCGTTTAGGCGCTGTAAAAGAGTCAGCCTGACCCAAAATGATCCGGCTAAGTTGAATTGTATTCCAGGCTTTTACAATTTGAGAAACATAATAAATAATACATAAACTAATGCCATAATACAAAAGCTAATGCAGAAACATTTTATTTTCATGCATAGGAACAAAAAAAGAAAAAAACATAGAAGATTTCAAAGTACATTAGATATACAATTATCATTGTAATTAGCAAATACCCAGAATTTGAAAGTCAAGAAAAACGCTTAATGAGAGTAACAGAGTGTTGTAGGTCATGGTAGAAATGAACCATGGTACTAACCAGAATCCCTTAAAACCCACCAAGTCCTCATCAACGAATAATAAAATCTGGAAATTAATCTCATAATACCCGCAAAATAATCAAACTTTAAGGTCAATTATCATCAAATTCCTATGCATATATATATATATATATATATATATATATAACGCAAATTCACCAAATTCCCAAAAAAAAAGAAAAAAAAAAGCTAAAAATTACTCACAAGCTTAATCGCAACCTCCTCGTTTGTCTGAACATTAGTACCTACAGAAACAAAATTGACACACAAAATTCAAAACGGAAAAAGGAAGGAAAAAAAAAAATCAAAAGCGAAACGAGAAAATCCAAAACAAACCAAGATAGATCTCTCCGAACGATCCGCTACCGATCTTCCGACCGAGGCGAAACTTGCCACCAACTCGAGGCTCCATAGCAAATTCAATTAGGCAATCAAACGATCAAAACGGAACCCTAACCCCCAAAAGATTCTTGGGAAAATGAAATTAAAAAAGAAAAAAGAAAATCGGAGAGCGTGCCAAGAATTGACCGGCTCTCCAAGTCTGTCGGGGAAGGAGAGATGAATCAAGTGGGAGAAGAAAGTTGGGGGCGAGGGACGGGGATGTCAATTGGAGAGATTGGTGGGGGTAAAATGGGAAAGGTTGTGGACATTCTCTCTCTAGGAAATTTTTAGGTCAGAGTGAGGCGAAGAGAGAGGAAAGATATGGAGCAGAGAAGGGGAAAAAAAGGCATCTCTTTTCTTTCTTTCTTTGTCTCGCCTTCTCGCGCTTTGGACCAATCGATGGGGAATTTTATTCCAGGCTTTCTTTAATTATTGACGGGGAAAAAAAAAAAAAAAAAGAAAAGAGGAAAAAGCCTGTTTTCAATTAATGGTTTTTCTTTTTCTTTTCAGGTGACAAAGTAAAATGGAAAATGAATCCAAACGGCATCGTCTTGAGTTGTTAATAATTAATTATTAATTTTAATGGAAATGAATCTTAAAAGAATGAATACAAGATTCAACCCTTATGTCCCATTTTTACCAAAAATAATAATTAAAGCTTAGGTCCCATATTAAAAAAAAAAAAGATCTTTACGCCCCACACATTAATCAAACTTTAAGATTCACAATTCACGAACAACATGTTTTTTAAATATAAATTGTGTGAAATTAAGTTTATTCGTCAAACTTTTAAATTGTGAAAAACAATGAAAGAAGAGAGAGATACAAAAATAAGAAAATGTTTTTCTTATAAAATATAATTAAAAGAAACCAATGTCCATGCTAGTCACATCTTAAGAATAGGACCTTAAACTTTAAAATTCAACATATATAGAACACAAGATATATTAATCAATACCAAAGGAAAAAAAATAATGAGAAAAGATTTTAAGGTAAGAATTCAGAAATTAATTCACTAAATAAAGAAAAAAACAAACGTTCTAGTATGGAATTCGGAGGCGTTTTGTAGATTTTCCAAAGACACGACATGTCGTTTGAATTTTACAATTTGGCTGTAGTTTGTGTTGAAAACGACATTACCGTGTGTTTTCTGTCAAACAAGTTACATTTCTCAAATGGAAAGATCATGAGTATGGGTGCGTTTAGAACTCGTTTTAAAATGATTTTATTTTTTATATAAAAATAGAAATGAAAACGTTTTCAATCTCAAACATAAATTATTTTTGAAAATGTGTTTGGTAGTTTTATCAAGAGATTGATTTCAGTATAAAAAAACTCATTAATGTCTCTATCTCTCTTGCTTGAGAGATGAGAAAATGAAAATAAAAAATGAAAAACGACTTTCATTTCTCTTCCATTTTATACTAAACTAAAAAATCATTTTCATTTCCGTTTTTTATCTTTAATTGTGTCAAATACTGTTTTGGAATCATTTTCATTTAAAAAAAACGTGAAAAATAAAAATAAAAACAATTCTAAACAGGCACATGTATTTGTTTGCCGTCCTTTCCAAGTCAATAAAACGACATATTGGTTTTTTTTAAAATAATGTCGTTGTTTATTGAGGAAAACGCGGCTTCAGGCTTGCATCGAAAAAAACTTTGTTCTCATTTATGCCAAGAAATTACATGTCGCTTGTGGCATTCTTCCGTTTTCTATTAGTTTTATCTCTTATTGAATTTTTCGGTTGAAATATCCTTAATTTTTGTTTTTGGTTTTCCCTTTGTGAGGTTTTCATTATCTTCTAGTTTCTTTCTTATTATTTTCGTTTTTCATTTTCCAATAGTTTGTCACTTATGCTTTTGTCATTGTTTTTTGCTCGATGTCGTTTTCCATCTTGATGTCGTTTTATGGAGGGTGCGCACATTTTTTATTTTTCCAATTGTTCTAGTTTCTGTCTCGTTTGATTTGTAGTAGGTTTTTTTTTTTTTTTTTTTTTTCATGTCGTTCTTTTATAGTTATGGTTTTCCCCTTTCTTGTCGTTTATTATTATGTTTAAGTTCTTAGTTATTATATAAATATGCAATCTCATTCATGTCGTCGTTTTCATTTTCTGCCTCGTGTCATTTCTTGACATTTGTAATTTTGTTGTGGTTTGTCGTTTGTCATTTCTTATCAGTTTAATTTTTTTTGTCGTTTTGCACATCCTGCCGTTTTGGACTTCATATGATTTTCACTATTGTGTTCTTTTTATTATTATTATTATAACATCCGTTTTTTTATTGTCGTTTCTTCTCCTATTATAGTTGTGGTATTTTTTATTTATTCTCGTTTATTATATTACTGCTTATTATATTTTGTTGTCGTTTTCTACGTACGATGTCGTTTCTGGATCGTTGTCTTTCTTTATTTTCTGTGGTATTCTCGTATTAGTTTTTGCCCTTTACATGTCGAATAATGAAACCCATAATTTTGTTATTATTGTCGTTTCTATTTTCATTTTAATATATTTTTTTTGTCGAGACAGTCACATAGATACATAGAAATACTAAGTTTGAACAATTTAATAATATTACGAATTTATTCTGAAAGTTTTAAAAGTCGTAGAGATTTTTGCCTATAATTCGGGAATTAAAACCAAGACCTTTTATCGTGGTGTTGTAATTTTTCATTGCCATGTCGTTTCTTTGTGGTTAAACCTTTTCCGTTGGCGTTAGTGAATTTTTGTTCTAATTACTTTTACGTTTTCTTTTTTTTTTTTTCCTTAGAGAAATTTCTGTTGTTTGTTTATTTCCCATCATGTTGTCTCTCTATTTCTGTCTTCTTTTTTTTTGTTTTTGTCATTCTCCCCCTTTTTTGTTTCTGGTCTCTTGTCTTTCGTCGTATTTTAGTTAGTGTCGTTCATCATTTTCATTTTGCTTCAAATTTTGATGTCGTTTTTCTTTCACTGTCCTTTTTAATTATATTGCGTTATTTTATTTTATTTTTTTTTCCAATTCGATTTTTTCTTGCTTCGTGTTATCTTCTTTATTTCACGCGGCAAAAATTGCGAAGTTTTATGTTTAACGCATCACAAGTCACAACTGCTTTACTAAAGTCGTAAAGATTTATATTTTAGTGATACAGCTTTAGCTTAATAATTGAAAGAAAGTATGGACATAAATCTTGCGCATTCTTTAATAGACTTTGGTTTGCTGCGATAAACAATTAACTTTGAAATTTGAATGACGCGATCATTTCAAATCATTACTTAAATGTTGTTAAGAAAGGGATTTAGAATAATATTTTGTACACAGCTAAGCAGAAAGGCCGGTATAAACAAGCAGATGTGGTTATCAACTATTTTCACAATCTTTTTTTAACTCTTCAAATTGGTAGGATATTGTACATACAACAACTCCAAACGTGTTTTCTCTATATTGAATGGGACTTTGACCGACCCCACTTGACTGAATAAACAAATGCCAAGAAATGATTAGGAAAAAAAGGGGCTACTATATATATGAGACTGCAAACTGGCACAAACTCTAAAAGGAAAAAAAAAAAATCAAAATTGAAAAATCATGGACTTTGTCACAATGTGGAAGCTGTACTTTGCACGGTGATGGATGTCTGCTTCTTTTGAAGCCTCCCTCTCAACTGCCTGATCTTCGCATCCACCCTTGCCGTGAATCCGATCTTTGTTTCTTGTCTCGCTTTCGATCGTTCTCTCGTCCACATGTGCTGGTCCTCGACGTCTTTCTTGTAGTATTTGATTTCTTGAATGATATGGTGATCCATTGGATTGAAACATCTTTGGAAGGATATGTGAGCCAAGTAAGGTAGATTACAAGCAATTGTTACTAAGAGTGTGGCTGACCAAAAAATGGGAGCAGGACCAAGAGCTTCAAGTAGAATTTGGAAGGCGTTTCCGGAGTAAGTCGGAGACATCATGCCATAAAGTAAAAGAAACAGATACCACATCGCGACACTGCCCCAAACCAAGAGGTGCTGGATCCATGTAAAGTGGCTCATTGTGAGTGCAATCTGGCAGTTGACGGCCCAGATGATGCAAGTGAACATTGCAGTCCCCATAACAGCCATGTCCGCCGTCTGGCCTCCGGAACTGAAAGCTTGGTCATAAAAGATGATAATGTTGAGGAAGAAGATTATAAGAGAGGAGTAGAGGCCATTGCCCATCCACCCCAGTATTCTAGGCCAGTCGAAGAACAAATTCTTGGGTCCTTGCTGATACAGAGCAGGGAACTGCAAAACCGACAGTGAATGGTTAAGTATAATGGAAGGCCTATCCTTTTTTTTCCCCAAATAAACAGAAGGGCTATCCGAAAATGCATGAGATGCTGCTAAAAGAAATAGGCCTAACCTGTAGGCAGACCTCAGAAGAAACGTCTTGTTCAAATGCTCCAAGTGAAATGACAGGCAATGAGGTAAGAATGACATTGAACGATAGCATGTACCAGTCATCATATATTGATTGCCCAGAAAAGCCCGTAAATGCCTCAAAGTAAAAGAGGGTGAGACCAAATGCGATGTTTTTGTAGAAGAAATAGCAAATCTGAATGCAAGAAAGGCCCATCAATATGTAACTTTTCTTTTTCTGTTTTTTTTAACTATGAAGCAACAATTAATTTTCATTACTTGTATCAAATCTTACATCAATGAATAAGTGTGAATGCAAAGAATAAATAAATTAAATCTTATGATGGATGTCTATTGATATTACCATCTGAGCGATCCTTTTGTAGCACCAATGTCCATGAACTACCAAAAGTCTCTCGAGGAACCGGAACTGCGCAATGGAGAAGTCACTGGCCATCACAGCCTGCAAGCAGTTAACATGGTTGAGATTCATAATTCAGTCCATTAAAGGAGTTTTGGGAAAATACGTTGTAATAGGGAGGCATGTTTCCAGAACAAAGAAGGTGCAGGTGTGGAGCCCCTATTTATTTATAGGAAAATCTGCTTGCCCTGGATAAAAATATGTGGCATAAATGCCTAACCACCATGAACTTTTAAAAATTAAAGAAAACGCTGATGTAATTATACCGCCGTGAAACCAAAAGGAGTCAGTTAGTTGTGGTACCAACCTGCATACCCTCAACGCCACTGATGCCAACTCCAATGTCAGCTTCTTGTATCATCCCAACATCATTTGCACCATCACCAATTGCTAAGGTGGTTTTTCCAGTTCCTTCTTTTACTAACCTCGTTACCTGGTAAGAAAAACTTAAATAATCAAAACAAAACCTAACCGTATAGTGCAGTTGCCATAATCTACAATCATAAGGATATTACTGACTTGATCATTGAAATTCAGAACAAAAAGATGCATGTAGCCTAGTAATTGAAAGAGGAAAAACTGATGAGGGAAAAAACATTCTTACCAATGCCTTCTGTCTTGGAGAAACGCGGCAGCAAATGACTGATGCACAGTCAACTGCTAATGCCAAGAATTGGTGCTTCATGTCATCCTCTAAAGCATAGGTTAAAGTTTTCCCATCAATAATTAGAGCAAATGCAGCATGCGGATCTTTCTCTAACTTGACCATTTGTGAACCATTGGTGATTTGATTTAGAATGTTCTCTTTTACAGCCTGATCATTGGCAAAAAGCAAAAAAGTCTAACCTGAAATGAAACCATATTTCTCAAAGCAAAATCCTGTAATATTTTTCTAAAGAAATATGTACCTCTTTGCTATCTTGAGTTAACGTGTCTGAGTTCGTTGTTGTTATACATATCTGTTTCATGCCCTGTCGGAGCAAACTACAAGCATATCTGCATCATGCAAACAAAATATTCATTACATTTTCTTGAATAACCATCCTTCAATATGTCACTTCTAATTTGGGATTAGAGACACACCCTATGTTTATTGCAGTTTCCATCTTATCCCCGGTCAGAACCCAGATCTTTAGGCCAGCTTGTGCAAGTTTGTCTATGCACTGGGGCACCTAAAGAAAGGCAAACAGGAACCAACTTGAAGTAAACTAATAAGGAAATATAATAAAATATACAAAACAACATAAAGACCAAGGCTTTATTTACCCCCTTTTGCAATTTGTCTTCGACAGCAGTAGCACCAACAAGAATTAACTCTCTTTCAATCATATCCGACACCCTCTCAAGCATTGCCTCTCTATCGGCCCCAATGGATGTTTTTGCTTTCTGAAACTCAGTGTTCCAAGAAGAGTACTCAGACTCCTCAAGCTTTCTATAAGCAAGTGCCAGTGTACGTAACCCGGCTTCTCCATATTCATTCAAATGTTTAGTAGTACTTTCCTCGTACATTCTCCCATTCTTTGATAAACACTCAAAGATGATGCTGCATATTTAGAGCAAAGGACCATGCGTCAGTGTCAAAGAGAGTAAAGAGTTAAACATAAGAATCCACTCTCTTTGCTTCTTGGAGGGGGGGGAGGAGAAAGATGAAGAGTCGTGAGCCTGACCTGTCTGCACCTTTGCAGAGAAGAAAAATTTGCCCATCCTCATCCTGTACAATTACAGACATTCTCTTCCTTTTGCTGGTGAAATCCAACATACCCAGTATTTTGTATTCCCTGTAAACAACAGCAATGCTAAGACACCAGGACAAGCAGAACAAAACAGGATGCCTAATTAATATAGTTCAATTAACATTCTCACCTTTCAACTGAAGAAGGGTATTTTTCCCGGACAAACACACTTGATTGAGTTCTTTTACAGAACTCGAAACCAAATTCTCTTGCTGCAACAAGAAAAGCGCCTTCATCGGGTGACTCTACTTCGTAGGTAAAAGTACCAGTCTCTTCATTTAGCTCGGGAATTGCAGTGTGGCAAACTGCTAATATCCGGAAAAACAACAAAGCAACATCAGCATTATGCTCTTTCAACCAATTTCCATTCATTACGCGTCCATCTTCAAAGCTAAATCCCTTTATGGAAGGTTTCTGGTCTTTTTCATAGCTGGAAGTAACAACAGTCTCCAGCTCAATTTCTGAAGCCATCCTATTCTCCCATGAACTAGGTGTGCCACCTTTTTGCATGGGAAAATTGGAAAACTCATCTTCCTGTTCCCCAAGGTCAATAGCCATCTGTTTGGCCGCAGCTAGCTCAACTTCACTCGAACGCGCACCATATGCAGTACCAGCAATGGAACATTTGAGAAAGTCCATCTGATTGCAGGTCAAAGTGCCAGTTTTATCCGAAAGGATAGTGTGAACCTGGCCCAGCTCCTCATTCAAATTCGATGTCCGTGCTTGAGCAGTATTCCCAGTCTCTTCACAATACATGTGTATGTCTTGGTTAATGAAGGTAGCTTGCAAAACCTTCACAACCTCAATCGAAACATAAAGAGAGATGGGTATCAAGTACCCGTAAAGGATGAGAGCAGTGACCAGATGGATAAGGCCAGACAAGGCAGGTTTTCGTGGGTTATACATATCTTCAGTATCCTCAGGTTGCAAGTACCATGAATTTGGCATTTCGAACTTTGTCTTTACAGCAAAACCTATAGAACTCACCAAAGAGATTAACACAAGCAGGCTGAAAAGGAGGTAAATAATGTAATCCATTTTTCTTTCTATTCTGCTTCTTTTTGAAGGGGACTTTGTTGCATTCTGCATGACTTTGCTATCATGACCAGTGAATATCACCACTCCATATACATAAGCTGTATTCCGCAACTTTGAGTCTCTGAGGAGAATCTGACTAGGATCAAGAGGATAAACCTGACGATCAAAATCGAGATTACCCAAAAAGGTATAAAGATTGGGGTTTGGGTCTTCACACTGAATTGTTCCTTTGAAATCTTTGAATGCCCCATCATCATCTAGAGGCAAAGTTACTTCTAAACATCTCTTTACCTTCAAATTTGTTTCCCCATCTAAGTTCATAGTCTCCACATAACAAATCCCATCCTCATAACTCGATGACAACAAAAGCAAATCCGCAGGAAAGAACTGATCCTTTTCCACTTTCACCACATCTCCAACCCGGATCTTATGCCAGGGCCTATATCCAAAGACACCATTTCCTTTATGAACACTCACTTTCCGGAGGTTGACCTTCATATCCTGCAAGAATCTACGCCAATCTTCCAAAGCTTCCTTGGCCATACTGAGCCCCACAACAAACGCCAGAGGAGCAATCATACTTACGGGAGAGAAGGGCGAAACCGCTGTGAGAGAGATAATTGCCGCCAAAAGGAAATAGACATTAGCAACGCGTCTGAACTGCTCAAAAAGCGCTTTGGGCAAGAAAGAAATAAAGTTGTACTTGGTGGTCGATATAAAATTGGAGCAATACTTCAGAGGCTTCTTTTTATGGAGAAGAGGTTGATTGCAATATATAATTCTTGAGTGGCCATGGCCAGGGATTGGATGAGGACCTTCTGCCACGGAGTCATTTGGCCTAAGGCAAGAGAATGTGTACAAGTGGTTTTGTCGGAGCTTAGTCCTTATCCTTCCCCCTGTCATCTCTCCCTAATATTACCCAAAAAACAATTATAATTGGCACATACCCACCAAAGAGAAAACCAAAATCGGTGTCCCCGACTTGGGGATTATAGCCAATTTCTCCTTCTGAGGCCGGATTTACATAAACCCAGATGAAATTCAGAGTTTTCTGCACGTAGTACACTTTGAATATTCAAAATCCAGCGCAAAAATTACAAGCGTCCTGCGTCAAAATGGAGATGCGAAATGGGAGAAAAGAAGAATCAAGCTTCAGAAACAATAAATTTCAATAAGGGTAAAAAAGAAAAATAAAAAAGGCGCTTCTTTGGAGCCATATTCCTTGCATACCCAGATTAGTAAATTTTCAAAGCCTCACATTTGAGGAATAAAATAGACTTTTAACCAAATCTGTGAACAGGTTACAATATATCTACACGAAATAATAAAACAAAAAAAAAAGGAAAGATCCTAAAAGTATAACACAGCACACTGGAATGTATTAATTATACCTATTTTTCTCGTCCTTTCCATATGTGAAAAATAAAAAACAAAACCAAGAAAATGAAACTTAGAAAATTTAACAAAAGAAACTTAACAACATTGCTGCATTAATCTTGAAAATCTAAAGAAATCTCTATAGAAGAAGAAAAGAACAAAAATAAAATAAAAAAAGTTATAGCACAAAATCAGACAATACCCAGCTGAAAGATCATTAAATTCAAGTGCAGATTCCCCGTACAAAATCAACACAAACCAGAGAGCTATCCACTGAAGTGAAATCCAAAAAAATCAAACAAAGAAGAAATCAAAAGTCCAAATTCTTTTTTTTTCTTTTTTCAAAATTCATAAGTGAAAAAGAAAAAGAACAAAAATGGTTACCTGGAAGCACGAGCCTCGTCCATCACAATGGCAAATTGAGGCGAAATCTCATCGCAAAGAGAGCTTGCAATTGCAGATCAATGAGGAACACAACGAGTAGAGAGAGAAAAAAACTGGAAGAGAGATTCTAGAGAGAGAAACAGAGACAGAGAGAGAGGACAGGGTTTTAGGCCAAAACAGGAAGAAAAGAAAGAACTCTCTCTCTCTCTTCTTTCTCTCTCCGTCCGGAAGTCTGAGGCAATGCCAGGAATTTCCGGGCCCTCCTTTTCCTATATTCGTATTTTGTATTAATTTTTTTTCCTGCTAAATTTTTCTCTTCTTCCTATTCTATTTTTCATATTTTAAATTATTTATGTTCGATTTTTTTTTTAATTATTTGCTGTGTAATTTCTAAAATGGGAAGTTTCATGATTGGTTAAGACACACTTGAAATGACCTGGTTAAAGTCCCTCAAAGACTTTTTTCTGTGTTCTTTTTCGATTCCTCTGAAGACATTTGGGAACCAGTCTTTCTGGGCCCCACCCAAAAAAGTACTGTGGGACCTTTTTTCTTACGTGGCGGGTCCTCAACATTCTTCCTCCGGGATCCTATTTCTTTTCTTACCTGTCATCTTGGTAATAATTTTTTTGTACAAAAATTATGAAAATATACAAAAAAAAAAAAAAAAGTTTTTCCATACTGGAGTGGCAGATAGCTTGTCCTTGGTGGGCTAGATCCTATTCAACCTCCAATTCTCTTGTCACCTCCAAGTCCTTTTTTTCTTGAATCGCAAAAAAAAAATAAAAATAAAAAAGTAGTTACATTTTTATCAAATTTGGTTGAATTATTATTTTCTTAATTAATTTTATTTAATAGGATATAATAATCCAGAATATGGTAAGATATTTTTCACTCTAGTATAAAAATTTTCTCGAGAAATTATTTATATACTCATTATATGGTTTTTTTTTTTTATAAAGGTACCGGTCTTGTATGGTTGAATTTAGGAAATTATGAGTTTAAGATAAGGTGGGAAAAAAAAACAAAGCATCTGAGTTTAATATAGTGAAACAGATAATCATTTTAATACACAAGTTGAATAGAATTTTATGAAATTGGATCAATACTAATTCTAGTACGGGTTTATGAGTCTCATTTTGATACAATGGTGATTCTAGTCTTTGTGGTCCAAGATGGGCATTGATTATGCTGATTTTCGTATCTTGTGACTCGAATAATAATCAAATTCTATATGTTACTTGCTCTTAGTCGATCGGAAAAATTTTATTGATTTCATAAGTTATTGTTAAATTATTGATGTGATAAACTTTTTAATTGACAGATTTTAGTGTACATCTTTCTTCATGAGCCTCATCGGATACTGATAGATTCTATTTATACCATAAAATCATTCACATTGATATATTGGTATGTATATGTCTTGTTTAATTAAATTGGAAAAAGTACAAATATTAGATTTGAACCCAAAAACTAAAGCATATAATGTGTGTGATTCCTAATTATATATTTATATATAAGTATTGTTATGCATGCACGGCACATTTGATGGTAAGAGACCGAACATTATCTCTTACATGTTTGTTCAGAGGACAATAACGTGTTATTCTGATGGTCATATGTAATGTGTATGGTATTAATAAATTTTTTTAAAAAAAAATTTAATGGGATTCGGCAAGTCAGATGGCTGTCAATCAACTAATTAGTTGATACCAATGTCAAAGGGACCCACAATCAGGGTTACCACTCCGCTCCACGTGGTGGATTAACTACTCTTTTTTTAATAAATAAATAAATAAATAATTTTATGAGGTCTTTCAAATTGTTTGTTCTTATGATTGATTATTTGGTAGTATTCCAACATAGCCAAACCATTTCGCATTTTCTGAATCCAAACTTTTTATTTGTTTTTCAATTGACTTAAAAATAACAATAATAGAAGTGAGCGGATTTCAAGCTCTATACTTTTTGATGAAGACATATGTAAAATTATCGTTAAATTATAATTACGATCATTTATTAATTGAGATTTGAGTATTCATAAAAGTAGTAAAATTGGTGATACGAGCCTTAAAGATCATGTGGAGGAGGACTAAGTGAGGTTTAAGACACAAGACATGTTCAAAGTTTCTTATGAATGTCTTTACATTGAAATCCATTTATTGTAGACACATTTACGCATTTTTCTTATTGCTTTATTATTTGAAACAAACGCACACGCACATGGCACGAATTATTGAGTGTATAACGTTAAAAGACACGATATTCAGGAACTACTAAACAAATAACTTTGAAAGACACGACATATGTTGGAACAAGATTATGACTACAAATTTGTATATATAACTCAAGGGAAGGGAAAAGGACAACAGAAGTTAACAAGGTACGTGGATGCTCAAATGTCCCTTTTCACGGATGAAATCCCTTATTAAAATTAAGGAAATAATTGGTCGTGTCGCATTATATATTTGGTTTTGATTTGAATAGTGAAAGATAGTGATTTGGGGTTTGGACTGGTCCTACGTAAAAAATTGGGAATCAAAACTATGATGACACGGTTTTCCTATAACCCAAACCAAAAGGAAAAGGAAAATATTCAAAGGTGAGTTTGCCTACAAATAATAATAATAATAATAATAAGAGATATTTTCTAATAGGCTGACTTACTGATAGTGTCAGTTTTTAATCATTCAATCTAGTTAAAAACTTATCAGATTAAAAAAGTATGCAAAATAATTAGGCTTCTATATAGATCTGACGGCTGAAAAATAAAGCATTATTGATAGTTTATTTTTTTCAATCATACCAAAAAAACTAATCGATTAATTATGCATTGGATCTAACTATGAGCCTTTTTGTGATTAAGAATGTTTAACACTACTAAATTATGTTCCATTGTTAGACTATTATGAAATTGATTTTTGAGCTCATTGTTTCATCAGCATTTCTGGAGGTCTCGTTCCTTGTGGTGCGATATTATCAAGTGTCAAAAGTTTCATATTGAGCGCTTGTATTCGATTGAGTGTATGGTGCATGTACGTTGATTTGACAACACAAACAATGGCGCTTCTAAGATTATTTAAGAGTTGTTGGTTAGAGGATTCAAAACACTTAAATTTAAGTTTGGGTTTAAAATCGTGTTTATTTTGCAAAAAATAAAAAGAGATTTGAATCCTTGATTGACGTTCAAATCCTAGAGTTCTTAAGAAATAAAAAGATTTCAGAACAGGTTCTCAAGATCTGAGCTCAAATTAAAACCCCACAAAACCTGCACGAGGTTCAAATCTAAAAAGTTCAATTTGAATCCCTTTTACAAACGAAGCCCTTAGTATCCAACATTTTCATGTTGTTTGGGAGTTGATGGCCGTCCCTGTTGAAAGATTTTAGTCCTTGTTTTGTGATAGTTTTTTCCTCTTTTTTTTTTTTTTTTCTTATTTGGTTTAGCTTAAATTTGTAATAATTGCGGATTTTATTGTAGGGTGATTTTTTATGTAACTTTGGTGTTATAGGATTCTCGACTTTGGTTGACTGTTAAATTTCAACCGAATGTAAAGGATATGTTAAAGACTCTGGCCCTTGCCAAATGTTCTTTTCATTTGCGTTATAATGAAAGGAAAGGATAATAAAATCGTTTAAATTAATGGATTTGAATATATATACGTTACGGACATGATGGCCCACAAGGTATTTGATTTTCAAGCACCAGAATCCTCTTCATCAAACACATAGAAGTCATTTTATTCCCGAGAAAGCTTTGATTTTTTTTTTTAAATGAAAAGTTTTGCATATTACCATTTTTTATTACTTTTTCTTTAATTAAAAGAAAAAATAAAGGTCTTGTTCATTTTACTGATTGAGTTTTGCTACAGTTAAAAGTTCTCAGAAACAATCACTTCTAATATTTTTATTATAGTAAAAAATTCTCGTATAAAATCACATCTCAACTAAAATTAAAAACTCGAATAAGCAAATTAAACGAGCCTAAAAATCAGAAACAAAACAAAAACCTTACACCATTTAACCGGTAAATCAGACTTATAGTTTGGCCACCCCAAGAAAGTGATTGAACTACACTTTTACTTTATCCATTTTGTACCTTTAAGGCGCTTTCTTGGCAAATTCCTTTTAGCTTCCCCCCACCCTCCTTATAATATTGTTTATATACACATATATACATATATATTTGTCTATATATGTTTCTATTGATCTTTTTTTCATATCCTTAGTCCCTACTTGATCGTGGATCAAGTACTGGAATTCTTGCCAACTTGCATACAACTTTGCACAAATCATTTCAATTTTCAGGTTTTGAATATGGCTGAGCGGTTTCTATATGTATGCTGAAAAATAATTTATTGACTTATATAGCAAACAAAATAAAGTTACTTATAATAAACAAACAAAATAAAGTTTAAGTTCTTGTTAGGGAAGTCCCACTTTCCCTCCCTTACCTAACACCTACCACAAGAAAAGGTCATCGAAATTTTTTTTTTTTAAATTGCTAAACCAATAACCAAATATTTTACTTAGTACTATGGAACCATATTACTACAAAATATATATTTACACTGTTTGTCATTGTCTATTTGTTTATTAGTTAAATATTTTTTTTAAAAAAAAATCTGCACTGTTTTGACACTTTTTTAAGTGTGTCCAATGAATTATTTAAAAAATAGTCAAATACAGACTTGGTCAAATCAGTCCATTATTAATTGGGTCTCAATATAATCTTATGATTTCATGCCAACTACGAGTGAATTTTTTTTTAAAAAAAAAAAAAAACAATCAGCAAAAATTCAGATTATCAACTCCAAAATTGTTCGACAATAGATGTCTTTATGAAGCCTAAGGAAGGATGATCTGATACGGCCAGTCCTCTGCCAATGGACCTGGCCTTCGCTCCTCTGCCCATGAACCTGGCTCGGAAACAGCAGGCAGAAACCGAAAAGGGAGTCCACAAACGAAGCCAAGAAGGAGGCCCAGCTGGGAAGGCCCAAACGCACCATCAAGAAACCTGAGTGGTTGAACGACTATGTGAGTTGAAAGATGGCTGAGTCGTTTATGGAAGTTTGAGGTCGTCTTTCTGGATTATGCTTGAATTTACTGAATAATGCTTGCTGAGTTGTAATGTCTCTTTATTTGCAATTCTCTGTTGTAACGTCCCAACCTTAGAGTCCTTGGTTGGTTAGGCGAATTCCCGTAGTTCTCGCTT